TGCCCAAGTCAGATGGCAACATACCACGGAATCGGACCATTAGTACATCGGGTTTCATCATCCTCAGATGCCGAACAGCGTGTCGTACAGAAGAATCACACTTATTCTGTACAGCACAGAAGGCAGATCTAGGGAAAGTTGGTAGAAATTTCTCCTTCTGTCGATTTTTCCATTTCTAGCAACTGCCAATGCTCCTAACACACTTTAGGCTGAAGAAATAGGTAACTGAATTTGTCAAAGCAGAGTGAAGTTCATATGATTCTGAGCATGAACTTAGTGGTAAATATTTTAGCAATTTGCTTGCTTTGAATTTCTCCCTCACTTGCTGGTCTCACTGCTGTTTGAATAGTTCAAGGCCGCCACAGATGTGCTTCCGGATAACGAAGGTCCTACAAGAATTCATACATTTTAATGTAAGTCCCCAAGCCTCGATGCAGTTAGCACCAAAAACAATGTAGAGATTTCTTCTCTTTCTATCTTGAAATTGATACTTGGGTTTCCTCTTTCAGACCATTACAATGCTCTGCCTTTAGTTTAATATCCAGTTTTAGTATTACTAAATGCCATTTTGGGGTGCATGCCAGTTTCAGAGCATGTTGATGTCCAGTTTTATCCTATTTTTTTCATACTCACCCAAGGACATATTGTTTTCATTGCTTTTAGAGAGAGAGGAAGGGAGGATGAAAGGGAGAGAGAAACATCCATGCAAGAGAAGAATCAATTGGTTAACTCCCGTCCAGACCAGGGACCAAACCCACAACCTAGGCATGTGCCCCGACTGGGAATGGAACCTGCGATCCTTTGGTTATGGGACAATGCTCCAACCAACTGAGCCACACCAGCTAGGGCTTCTCCTATTTTAATCGTTAGTTATGCAACTCTGCTTTCTGAAACATTTGTGATAACTATTTCATTTAAAAGCTCACAAAACTCTGGCAATTGCCAATTTTGCAATTTATAAGCAACAACATTCCAGAAAGAAGAAGCTTTATCCTCCCTGTCTACAAATAGATTACTTCCATTTTGATTGATCTGAAATGAATCATGACTCAAGAAAAGATGCCCTTGTATAATGCTGCATGGTCTTCTATCAACAAGTAAATGTTCCTGACTCATTTGCTTAAAATTAATTAAATGAAATAATTTTAAATATCACCAAGTGTCAAAAGTAAAATAGAGCTAAGGGAGGATCTGACTCTGGGATAATTGGAAAATTTTCTGCACATGCTAGTAATATGTTATTTTTAAAAAATATGGTATTTTGCCCTGGCTGGTGTGGCTCAGTGGATTGAGCATGGGCTGTGAAGCAGGCATCGCAGGTTCAATTCCCGGTTGGGGCACATGCCTGGGTTGCAGGCCATGGCCCCCAGCAACCGCACACTGATGTCTCTCTCCCTCCCTCTCTCTCTCTCTCTCTCTCTCTCTCTCTCTCTCTCTCTCTCCGTCTCTCTCCCCCTTCCCTCTCTAAAAATAAATAAATAAAATCTAAAAAAATATGGTATTTTTAAAAAGCCTTAACAGGTAAAAACTTCAGGAGCAAAAGGGAAAATGAGAAATGACACCATTCAAATTTTATGAAATAGTGAAAAAAATTAGGCGAACGGATCTATCTTGCAAGATGACTTGAATTGGAAAAGTAGGAAGTTGAGCAAATCATAGGGTCAAACAGTAAGGACCTAATCCATAATGTATCATCCACGAGACTTCACACTGGAGCTACATGCAAGATATATATGTGCTAGCCATAAAATGCACGTGAAAATTGCAAATTGAGTTTCTAAGATTTTTCCCATTTTACTTTATGATATATTGAATAATTCTACATTTTTTTAATAAGAGACAATACCCATGGGGAAAATGGGTTGTTATTATAACATATGGGAATGCAGAAGCTTAAAATATGCTTACTAATTTGATATAAAGAATGTTTTATATGACTCAGAAACAACCCAGCACTCAAATGGTAATCCTTAAAAAGTAATTACCCGACCTATGGTTACCGTTTCTATCCTGAGTTCCTGGTGTTAGCAGACTCTTAAGCCGGGCAGGGTCAGGGTGTATTCGAACCGGTGCTGCGGGAGTGCAAGGTTGGAGGATGGGTTTGAAACCGGGAACAGGTGATTCTAATGAGCCCTCTGGAACGCACCGGTAATGAGCATCGCTGTCCGGCCTGTCAGCCTGCAGCCTCTCAGCTGCCAGCCTAACCTTTCTCAGGTGCCACTTGCATCATGTTATGCAAATTCAACGACATTCAGCTGATGTTTAACATGGAATTATGCCTTCTTGAGGTATAATGGACACAAGAATGTGGCGACTCTGATAGTTAGCTTGTAAATGAGCCATCTAGGTGACAGCACTATTATTTTTATGCATTCGTACTTTCTGGAATTTCTATTGATTAGAGCTAAAAACACAGAGTGCAGATTAAGGGGAGAGACCTCCTGTGAATTTGTCTCCTACTGGCAGAAACATAGCTAGCCATTCAGCGGGACATTTATTCATGAGTGATCCGGGATTTATTTCCATCCCATAAAGTCGCTATTACAGGCAGTAGATTGTTTAATTTGTATGCCCGAGCTTCCTCGGAGAGCTGCAGACAGACACATTATGACACAGTGATTAGCATGACAGCTCGGTAATCATCTTCAACACCTGAAAAAATGAAATGATTTATCCCTCTCTTGGAGGACATCATTTAGCCCTTTCTTTGAGAGACTTAAGGAATGATTTCCATGAAATGGTTACTATTTGTAAATATATTGGAGAAGAAAAATACCTGTGGATTTTGAATGTCTTCACGTGACACATCTGAGCAGAGAGAGAGGATTTATCCATTAACAAGTGAATGGCAAATGAGTTAAACCAGGTTTCCGAAGTCTACTGCAAAGGATTCATAAATTGTTCAGTTCGTATAATTATTTTATATTCACATCTATCTGGAAGCATCAACTAATTGCAAAATGCGAGTTTATATCAGAATTATTGGAGTTAACCATGGGAAAAATAGTTAACTGTTCTTTTCTTAGTCAAGGTTAATTTTTCAGAAGCCTTTTAAAACAATTCCTAAAAACTGAAATTCTAATAATTTGACTGATGGAGACTTTCATAGATCTATATGTCCATGGACAGCTTAGTTATTCACAGATGTGCAAATACAGAGCCTCTTGTGAATTCACTGATTAAAGAAATATAGTGTCTGTGTTTTAAATAATGATACTGAATACATTCTGTGGATTATAGAAATAGGCAAGAGTTTGAAACTGTGAATGAGAACAATACCAAATCTCTAATGTCATTGAATTTTATACAATTTTAAAATGATAGATTAATGTGCAAACTGCATACTTTGATCCCCACTTGAAGCATTCTGATATTGTTGAAGACGGTTTATCAATATGACTGCTTCTGAAACCTCGAAGGTGCATGCGTGATAACGTCAAATGTGAGAACTGCATTTCAGGAACCTGGTACTGGTGCTGGTACTGTGTTGATTGGCTTTTAGGAAGGGACAAAAGCACTTTTGTTCAGTCACAGGAGTCCTTACAAACCCTCTTATTCTCTCTTATTTACCCCTCGAGGGGATCCAATCTAAGAGGGTCACGACCGGGGAGGAAGAGTGTGTGGCCAGGCTACTTTTGGATGATGTCTGGGGCGTGCCTTTGCACAGCTTTTAGTGAACTCTCTTCCCAGTATCCGTGTCCTAGGGTGGGATACACGTTTCCTTTTCACTTCAATTGCCTTGTTCTTTTGTGCATTAGATAAGAAAGCAAAATCAGAAGTTCACTCCCCTTACCATTGGACACAACTTCACCTTCCCTTCGCTGGCAATTTGTACTGTGTTAGACTTCAGCAGCACATTGTAAATTCTAGATGAGTTTCTTTTCTCAGCAGCAGTTGTTTCCTTATTCATATATTCTTCTATCTAGGTCTAATGCCTTAAACAATGTATATGGCAAAAATACGTTAACACACACACACACTAAATTTATAATACGCATAGCATGTAACATGCCTATGGCACATTATTAATACATATGTGCTTGAAACACACTACTTGTGTCTTTCAGAAAAGATCTCTCAACAGGTATGGATTTTCATGCAAGCAATTATAAATTAGTCTCATTATAAACCGTATTCTTTTACTTGCAGTGATTTGTAATCTGCATTGCATACCATAGTTAATTATAGATAAATGTCTACAATATAGTGTTTTGGACATTTTAAAATGCTTTTTCCAGATCTTGTATCACACACTGCTAGGAATGAAGTATTTTCATTGATCTGTTGTTGCGTAGCAAACTACCTCTAATCTTTGCCCATAAAGACTACCGCCCACACTGGATGTCTTGAACCTCTTGCTTTGGACACGAAATGTTTCATCTTTCTATTTCACAAGGATATATTTTGTGCATTCTGCTGCAATTACCATTTAAGATGAGACGCATCGTTTGCTATTATAATTATCATCAACTGCTATCTATGCCGTGTAACTATTTTTACGTTTTAGAGGGTAGAAAGGATTTAAATACATTTCAATTCAAGATGCTGCCCGTAAGATTCTTTGAAAAGATGATTTGGACTTTACATTTTCTAAGCCTGCATGATTGTATGAATGTCTTATTGTTTACTCTTTCAGCCCACCCAAATCTTACAGGTATGGCGATGCACGTTTGTTATATGGATTCACACTTATTATTCCAAAACACGAATTCTTGTCAAATAGTAGTAGCTCACTAAATCCATGAGGAAATGATGGTCGGAATTGCCAATGTGCTTGAACGTCTACAGCCTTAGGAGTCGACTTTCTTCTGCACCTGGACGTGCCTTGTTTCAAAATATGAGCTGCAGCAGGTTCGCAGAAGCCTGAAATTGTTCCCAAATCAAGATAATGTTGATGGGACTTCACTAGATAGTGGAAATAATGTCTTTGGGAAATTGGCTGCATTAAGCAATTATTCGGATCGTAGCTGAAACGCTGTCATTATCTGGCTTCCTTGCAGTCCCAGCGGCGCGTCACGTTTCACCTGCCCGAAGGCTCTCAGGAGAGCGGCAGCGAGGGCGGCCCGGGAGAGCTGGAGGCCGCAGGCGGGGCGCACGCCCTGCCCCTGCACTACCGGCGGGGGGAGGACTTCTACCGCGCAGCGCCCAGCAGCCGCACCGAGGGCGACGGCAACTCCGATCCCGAATGCAGTAAGTGACTCCTGTCTTGTGCTGCAGTGTACATGCACTTAACTTTGCAAGGCACACAGCCGTCGTCTTGGTAACAGTGGCCTTTTCATGGTGTTAACAGGACTTACGCACTTTTAAAAGGTAAACACACAAAATTAGCTGGAAGGCCATTATGCATCCATTTCCCGTACTTGAAATGTGCGATCATGTCTACGTTGCGTAACATTTATTATGAAATGTCACAGGTCGTTTTGGCATAGCTAGTACTTCCTACTTGTATCTGCATCTACATGTATGTATTTGTGCGTAACCAGCCTTTTTATTTTATTCATTCATTTGGGGACATGAAGATTCTTTTTATACTTTGGGGAAGTTATTTTTCAGATTTACTTTTCTTCTAATAGATAAGAGCCACAGAAAATGTATTTTGAAGGAAATAAGAGATCCTGAGTCTAATGCTGGGGAGTTGATCTAAGGCTTTCACGGCTCGTCAACACACAAGAAAAACATACACAGAGACAACCGAGTCCTGTGGGGAAGTAGGAACGGAATGGCCACTCTCTCTGGTGGGGAGAGCGCCCCGTTCCCCCGCCCGAGCAGGCTTTTTATTGGGTTCGTTTGCATAAGAATTCAGGTAAAACTCATTACTCATTGCTAGGAAGTAAGGATCAAACAATAGGTAACAAGGAACTCTGAGGGTGTATTTTGAGTCAGGGACAAAGAGCTGTAAAACTTTAAGGAACAAACTTACTTCTTCCTTGGACTCTTCTCATTCAACTGAGAGCATTCTAAACAAAGCAGGTTTCACAGGAATTTACATGTTCTTTCTTAGGCCTGATCACCCAGGGAATCCGCCCTTTCCAGCACAGAGCTGCACCACCCCCCATCATTGTTTCAGGCTTAGGTGGAGCAAGGGAAGTAAGGCAGCCAAGAGATTAGGAGATTTTCTCCCAGACAATGAGGACTCAGGCTTTGTCAAAGCCGAGGAGCGAGGGTCCATCATCCCCTTTTGCTGTAGCCCCCAAAGTCCTTCCTTGGGGGCCTCCCACATGATCGTGCCTGTCTTGGGTCATTCCCCCCTTGGGGAATCTTACCCGTCATTGGCTAACCGACCAAGCACTGGGGGCCAGGCAGGGTGAAGTGAAAGGAGCAGAAGCAGCATTCCTGCCAGGGAGATAAGCTTTGTCTCCTTGCTGGCTTACAGTCCAAGGTCATTCCCTCAGCCTTAGCCTTGGTGGGGGTTACAGCTTCTGATACCAGGCAGGGCAGTTCCCAACAGCATGTTACCATTTACAAAGATATTCAGATTTGATCTCCAGGCACAAGGCGTAAAAGGCCGTATTTGACAAAATTCAAAGATGTTGAATTCTTTAAAAAAGGTCATGAAGCTGATACTAAATAGAGCATTCATTAAATGTATGATCTTGAACATGGACCGAACATCCTCGCTGCCTCTTAATTTTAGGAAATACAAAATTTGCTAAGGTTATACAGAGCTCAAAAGAGTCTTGGTTTTAATTTTTAAATATATTTTATGGATTATGCTATTGCAGTTGTCCCATGTTTTTCTCCCTTTTATTCCCTGCACTCTTTCATAATTGAAATTAGTTTTGTATCTAGTTTTGAGAACAAAATGGCTTCTGCATGATTGTGGTTTCAGCCTCTATGTTTGAAACCCCCCAAAATAAGGGAAGTCAACTGTTTGAACATCAATATGTAATCTACGAGTAAACATACAGAACCAATGACAGCATAACATCAACATTTTCTCTCTATAAAAGCAGACGTTGGATATTAAAGGTGTTTCAATATAAATATTTTAGAGACTTCTCAGTCACCAAATTCAGAAAGGCGTAAAGATCTGCTATTCCTGTATACACTTTTATACTTAGAATTATTTATCAATATTCATTCTGTGCCTGAGAAATTCTATAATGTGCAATACTAATTTACCTTTCGTTTACTATGAACAAGACGACGTAATGACTTCTGGTACAAATAAGAAGCTGTAGCTGTATCTGCCACTACAATAAACTCAGAGCCAATCTCTAATAAGAATACGGTCATAAGTAACACATATGCATTAAGCAAGGTGTCCTTGCTCTTATTTACTCCATAAATTATTATGTTAATTGTAGGCCTATCACCACTTAACGGATAATATCAATAATATAGAGACGGGGGCTGGCGGAAAAGGTGCAGGGATTAAACAATACAAATAGGTAGTCACAGAATAGCCACGGGGCTGTAAAGTACGGTGTAGGAAATGGGGCGGCCAAAGAACTTACATGTATGACCCATGGACATGAGCCATGGTGGGGGGACTGCCTGAGGGAGTGGGGGGTGCTGGGTGGAGGGGGGCGAAGAAGGGGAAATGAGCACAACTGTAATAGCATAAACAATAAAATGTAATTTAAAAATAAAACATGTCTCAGTAACAAATAATAATACAGAGATGAGATGAGCACCATTTCTATAGAGAGAATTGTTGCCCTTTTGTTAGATCATTGCAGACCGACAATTAAAGAGGAAACTCATCATACACATACACCCTGAAATAAACTTTCAAAATGCACAAGACTAAAATATATATAATAATAAGTAGCTACTTTCATAGTATTCAAATGAAGAGTTCTTTATAGGATCTGATTTTATTTATAGTGAAGAGTTGCAGGTGTTAGCAACTATGTATGACCTAATGTACTTACAAGCTATATTTTTTAAACAAACTTTTTTAAAGATTTTAATTATTTATTTTTAGAGAGGGAAGGGAGGGAGGGAGAGAGAGAGAAAGAGAGAGAGAGAAACATCCATGTGTGGTTGCTAGGGGCTGTGGCCTGCAACCCAGGCATGTGCCCTGACTGGGAATTGAACCTGTGATGCTTTGGTTCGCAGCCTGCACTCAATCCACTGAGCTACGCCAGCCAGGGCACAAGCTGTATTTTTGAAGTTTGTTTCTATCAGGAGCCAAACATCTCTCTCCTGTGTTCCTATGGACACTATTATTTTGCTCATTAAATATTTTATTCCTAATTATAGCAGGAAGCAACGGCAAAATCAAGTTAACAAAGTTTTTTATTAACTAGGCTTTACTTGAAAACCAGGATGGCTGTAGGCAATAATTATATATTTTGCTTCTTGTTGTTTTAATATGCTTAGGGAAAAGGTAAAGTGTCCATCTGTGTATACGTGTAGCGATATTAACAGGCCAGTGTTTGAAGCCTTTTTTTTCCTATGAGTAATAGCAACTCACTGGAGTAATATCTCTCACTGGACCTGAAACATCCCTCAAAGCCACATTCCAAAGAATTTGTTGGTTACATGTTCCATTTTGGACAATAAAGGACCTTATTATTACAAGTGCAAGAGGCACAATATTTCACTTGAAAGAAGTTGTATTATCTCAAATGGCATGCTAGTAAGATTGTTACATAGCACGTGTGTTTTGTTTTGATCAGAAAAAGTTGATGCCAAATTTGCCATAGCAAACTAATCTCTGTAGGCTAGTGCAGATGATAAGGTGCCATTGATTGTTCAACGAGAAACTCTGTAGCTCCGGAATAATATGTAGTAAAGGGATCTCGGACATGGAGCAGATGCCAGCAAACTGTGCGCTGTTGGTCCAGAGCGCCACAAAGGAGAGGCTAGGCTGCTAGAGGAATTAATTTCTGCAGGTCCCATTTCACACTCTGAAATGCATTCCGTCTTCAGTCTGCTTGCTTTTCCGCTGGTGACTTGTGCAAAACAGTACATAGTTCTGGAAGTTCCTTGTAACTTCACAGAAACAGATAGAAATACAACTTTTGTGAATAAGATTTTGCCCCAAATTTACAACTGGGATTTATGAATACTACTTTAACATATAGTTTCCCAGGTTGATAAAACTTGGCTGATTAGGTGAAGAAATTAAATTATGCTATTCATTCTTGGAGTCTTTTGCCAAGAATATTAACTTTCATTTTTAAGATAAAGAAACAAGTAAATGCAATCCAATTATTTCTCTTTTACGAGACAAGTTTAATAAAACATCCCGTCTCATTCCATTTCAAAGCTTTTTGAATTTTTTAATTTCACAGTTGCAGTTTTCTCAATGCAGCCTTTGCTACGAGAGCCACTTCAGGCCACTCTGTGAGTTTTTTGTCTTTTGGGGAGGACAGCCCCAGCCCCACCTTAACCCCATCAGATAACAGGCCCCATTTCCAATGGACCCTACTCTTCCACGCTTGCTGCTCTGTTGAGAACACACAGGCAGAGAAGTCTAATCCATCAACAACATTAGCGGTTGCTGCTGGGTTACTGTGGAGGCTCTAACAGGCCAAGTCCACGTTCGGAAGGATCAAAGGCTCTCCTAAAGAGGGTGTGGCTGCAAAGAATTGTATGTTATCAACAGACAGTATCGATTGAGGTATTTGGGGGCCGTGTGAACCTCTTGAGAATGCTCTAAACACACTAAACTACACACGGCTCCTATTCCTATGTACTTGTTTACAAGCAGCTTTAGGTTAAATGTAATTCATGAAGAGTTAAAATGCTTTCCAACTTTCTTTTGTAAAACATTGCTCTGAGCACTCTGGCTGGCATAGCTCAGTGGATTGAGCGCGGGCTGTGAACCAAAGCATCGCAGGTTCGATTCCCAGTCAGGGCACATGCCTGGGTTGCAGGCCACGGCCCCCAGCAACTGCACATGGATGTTTCTCTCTCTCTCTTTCTCCCTCCCTTCCCTCTCTAAAAATAAATAAATAAATAAATATTTTTAAAAAATAAAAATTTACTGGCATATCACAATTGGAATGATCAAAGATAATAAGATCCATATTTCTTTGGAAGAGGAACAGTGAAACAATGTTTCTAAAGAGATTCAAGTTGGCCTTCGGTTTACCAGATGTAAATCAATCATTTTCAGAGAGATCCTCATAACGGAAGGGGGAACCTAGTGTCATCAGTGTTTTCATCTTCTTCAACTGCCGAAGTCACATCATCTGCAGTTTTTAAAACCCTTCACGGGATACGGTCATTTCACA